AATTCCCAAAGGGTTAGAAGTTGTCATCCTTCTCTTTAACTTTGACAACAGACAGTGTGGTAAACTTATTTATTGTCCATCTTTATTCCTGCACTAGGAGGATGTCCCTAAGTGGCTTACCTAAGGGTATACTGTGCTAGAGATGGGGAAATAAACTTAGGTCTCTTGAGTCTTTTACCACAAAAAGGGTTTTCTTCCCTTAGTCTGAGCTTTCACTGCTCTCAGTCTTATTGCCATGGAAATTGTCTCTGTAGCTGGTATTAGACTTGCCTTGTTGACATCATTATTAAAGCATATAATAGATAACTGAACTGCTCTGATACTTATCTTTGGGTCAACAGCTATTGAGACTCCAGAGGCAAATTAGAAAAAAAACGTAGACTCTTTATTAGTAGAACTTAATTTAACTGTATTTAAACTTCATTAAGGAGGAAAAAAAAATGACCTTTCTTAATGCACTCTTTCTTTATAAAGTATGAAATAAGAATATTAGATTAGTTTGATCCTGGTTCTTATTATGCACACACAGTAGATGAGAATGCAAAAATTCCCTCATTCAGTTAGGTACTCTTGGATGTCAAATCAAAGACCAGGTGCTCCACAAGCCCATTTCCTTTCTTCAGTGTTTTATGTTTCCTAGCCCTGTAATTCCCCCCAGGAAACCAGAAGAAATCTTAATTTCTTACCCCATCCCCCCCATTAAAGTAACAGCTCTGGTCATTTAAACAATCAAGCACATGTTCTTACACTGTCTGCACCTCATGCTATCCATAAATGGTGATGTGGTAAGAAAAACCATGGAGGAAAGGAAAGGAAATGACATTAACCTTTTCCATCTGATAAATAAGGGCTCTATTCAGCTGCAATAATCCACATCCTTCCCTAGAGATCCAGTTAATGTAATACCTAAGGGCTCAGTTCATATAAAATTATTTCCACACTGGCCAGCTGATTTCTTGGTGAATTATTCAGTCCCCAGACTGAAATATTCTCCCTGTGCAACAGCACATTGAGAAGGGCTGGAGCCCTTCTGTAGCTGCCAATGGTCTGAAGGTCCTCTCAGAGGGGCCAGAAGGTCTGTGACACCCACAGGGTTTATTTGTGCCCTTTAAGTTACAGGAACTTTTGTGCTGCTTTTCATGGGACCATCAACCTGTAAGCACCAAAGATAGCATACCTTGTCCCGTTTGCTGCTCTTCTCTGCAGGGGGCTTCTCCCTTCCCTATCAAACTTTAAGCACCTGCAGTTTATAGGTAGTAAAAAGGGAGTTTGAACTGTAAATGGGTGGAAATTTAAAGCAACAGTCTCAGACAATTCAAAAAAGGCAGCCTGGATTACGTAGGTTGTTGCTAGGGTTTGAGGCAATGGATGTGGATCAGTGACCACTGCCAGGGTGCTGGAGTGATCCACACTCCCAAAAGCTAAAAGCTGGGAATTGATATGTAGGGATTTTTATCCCCTTTCCCACTTTGCAATACAGAGATGGCTCCAGCATGGGTGGCATCTGCTCAGCTATACCTGCCCTTGCAAAGGCAAGGGACTGTTTGATGCAGGGTGGGGAGCAGGACATACAGAATCCAATTGCAAATCAATGAGAAACACTTGTCTAACGTCAGTAGCAATACATAAAATCCCAGATTATATTAGTGTATTGATCCATAGTCGATTGAAAGCCATGGGAATCTTGTCATTGGCATCAAGGCATTTTGGATTAAGTTCCTACATCATGAGACATGTCCCTTCCTTCTTTTTTTTCTTAAAGGGAGTGTTACTAATTGGGTATAATAAGCCGAAGTTGTATGCAATTTTGCAACCTTTCTGATGCTGTAATAAGCTGTGCTCTGAGGGTTCATTATTAGACGATCTTGAATCTTGCAAGTTAAACAGGAAAAACAAGAAATCTGACCTCACTGCAGTGCTTCACTGAAGTGCATTTATTGACTGATTTTAAGCTCTTACAGCAACTCTGTTCGCTAAGAACTTTGGGGCAGCTCTTGGCTTGTGTGGACCCTTAGCTCCTGGGGTGTACACAGCCCCGCCACTCAAACACCTCACGCTCCAGGCTTGCATCAGGAGCTTGGACTGGGACTGAGCAGGAAGCTATAGCTGGAGACTGGCCCATCCTTCCTTCTTGCAACGTGGCTCAGCTTCTCTCCTCCTCCAGGAGCCCCCAGGCTGGCCAGTCAAGATGCCAGAGGTAAAGCAGGAGTGTTGTACTGGGCATGGTTTAGTTCCTGGCTCTTTGGTGCTGGGTCAGTAGAGAGAATAAACCCCTTTGGATCTACCCTGACTCCTTGGGGATTCTGCAAGTTGCAAGTCTTTGGAAGGATCTGGATCTCCAGCCTCCTAATGCTGAGGAGGGAGGACTGAGAAGCCTGTTGTATATCAAAGCCAAAGCAAGCTTCAGCTGGATCTCTCTGCTAGTAAATCTACCCTCGATACTGTAATGCTGAGACTGGCATGCACTTAATGCTAATACATTCTTATCCCTATCCCATCTGTATTAGAAATTAAGGCAGAAACATGAAGACTGTTACCACGCTGTAACCTTAAGAACAGTTTCTCACTTCAGAGAGGCACTCAGCAGGCACCGGTGCATCCAGCCATCGTTCATTATCGCTGATCTTTGGTGCTGGCCTTGGCCAGTTCTGTCTGGATTCAGTTAACTTCTTCCACTGGCAAGAAAGCTTTCTGAGCATTTGTGTTATCTTGCTGGAAATCTTAAGTAGGGAGCTGAACACGATTGGGAACAGTTGCCTGATAGAAGAGACAGAAAGAAAATGCATTTTGCAGGGAAGGAGTGGAGGTTGGTCCTGGAGCAGACGGACAGGGCCCTCCCCTGGTATAAGAGAAAAAGCTGGAGCAAGAGGTGGAACTGGATGTTATTGTACACGATGTCACACTGACTTGGTGTGATAGCCATTGAATTCGCCATAATGTTAAATTAAACTGGCTGGGTTTTTCCAGAACTTTTGGAATGGTTCTGGCTTTGCGGAGCTGCTGCTTATCAGCACACTGAAGGCTGGCACGCCAGCTGCAGTGACGCAGGTAAATGGAGTCTCTGAAACTTCATTGTTATAAACCAGCTGCAAATCTGACCCAGAGGAGATAGGGATTCTATTCAAGGAGTCTGCAATGCAAATTTATGCAGATGACTGTCATTAGTCTACTGTATGTTTGCTTGAAACAGCGGGGTAAGGAAGAGACAGCTACTCTGCAGAGAACAGGCCATAGAAATTGCAGGTTTGTGCCCAAACTGCCATCTGAGGAAAAGCATTAGAGCACAAAAGAGACTTGCCTCTCAATTCTTTTGATAGATTGCAGGAAAAAAGGGGTGTTGAAACTATCTCATCACCAGCCACCAACCTGGCTCTTTTTTCTTGGCATTTATTGACAAATATTGTGCCCTTGAGTCCCCAGAAGCAAAGCTCTGTGGGGAGAGGCAGGAGCAGTGCACGGAAGCAGGAGCAGGCAGAGTTCATTTGACGGCCCTCCCCTGGTATAAGAGAAAAAGCTGGAGCAAGAGGTGGAACTGGATGTTATTGTACACGATGTCACACTGACTTGGTGTGATAGCCATTGAATTCGCCATAATGTTAAATTAAACTGGCTGGGTTTTTCCAGAACTTTTGGAATGGTTCTGGCTTTGCGGAGCTGCTGCTTATCAGCACACTGAAGGCTGGCACGCCAGCTGCAGTGACGCAGGTAAATGGAGTCTCTGAAACTTCATTGTTATAAACCAGCTGCAAATCTGACCCAGAGGAGATAGGGATTCTATTCAAGGAGTCTGCAATGCAAATTTATGCAGATGACTGTCATTAGTCTACTGTATGTTTGCTTGAAACAGCGGGGTAAGGAAGAGACAGCTACTCTGCAGAGAACAGGCCATAGAAATTGCAGGTTTGTGCCCAAACTGCCATCTGAGGAAAAGCATTAGAGCACAAAAGAGACTTGCCTCTCAATTCTTTTGATAGATTGCAGGAAAAAAGGGGTGTTGAAACTATCTCATCACCAGCCACCAACCTGGCTCTTTTTTCTTGGCATTTATTGACAAATATTGTGCCCTTGAGTCCCCAGAAGCAAAGCTCTGTGGGGAGAGGCAGGAGCAGCAGCAGTGCACGGAAGCAGGAACAGCCCTAATTTGAAGACCCTGTTGATAAACTGAGGATAAGATCACTGTCTGCATCTTGTGTGTAACACTCTCTGATGGGCTGAGCTGGAAAACTCTGTAGTAGCAGGAGTTTCCAGGAATGTACTTCATCTAGATGATGCAGAGCACCTGGGCGTGGAAGCACACAGCTGATAGCATTACTCTGTACTGCATGTGCCTCTTTTTACACTGACCTTATTTTTGGGGCCATTGTGGCCCGCTAAGGATCTCTCCCAGCTCTCTGGGATTACTGTCACATTTCAGGTGACAGTGACAAAAGGTGAGCTGGTCTCTATGCAACCAAGTCAGAGGATGGAGCAGAAGAGGAGTTTAAAATAACCTGCTTTCTGCTGTGAGTGCAGGCAGGTTAGCAGCAGCAGAGGGTTCTGGGGGAAAAAATTGAGGACTTCAGACATCTACTGGTGACTTTTATTATACATAGTGGTGGTGGGATGCAGGGATAAAATCCAAGGCCCAAAGATATTTGTGTTGCATGCAAAAAGCCCTTTCCACTTTTACAAAAATCCTCTTGCCAAGGCTGCCTTAAAGGGTCTATAATTATCTGTTGGATCAGTTATCAGAGAAATGGGAAAGGTTTGGGGTCAAATTAGTTCCTGGTGTAAATCCTCTGGTTGCTTCATGCTTCCTGCAAAGTAGACCTGGAGGCTGTCTGAGAAAAAAAATCAGAAAACTGCTGGGCTCCCAAATGTAGCATATTTCTCGTCAGTTCTAATGTGCTGAAAGGATGGGATTTTCTGTGAACTTTTCCCAAACAGTCTTGCATTTTTTTCTGTCTTTGAGAGGGGGAGGAGTTGTGCCTAAAAAAACAAACCCAACCTGTCGTTCTCAGCTCTGCCAACCTGTCAGTCCAGCCATGCAAGAGAGAGGGAGAGAGACAGAGAAAAAGAAAGGAGAGAGTGAAGGAGAGATTCTTTCAGATCTCAGCAGACATTAAGGTAAAAGCCCATTTCTCACTTCCTTAATTACATTTGTTTCTGTGTGTGTACATGTAAACAGAAATCCTGTTACCTTAGAGAGTTTTAAACTAAACAACCTGTATGGGAATAAACTGTTTATCTTGTTCAACTGGAAGTGTGTTTTGCATGTAACCTGGCAGCTTGTTAGTTGTTTGGAAACAGAGTTTCTCTCTCTGAAATTCAGAAGGAGAGCTGGTGTTCATTTGAATATTAAAAAGAGGCAGAGCTTTAGTGCTTGTGTGAATACATGTTTGGGAGGGATATTAAGCTGTGTAATTTCAGGGCTGAAGCCAACCTCTAATTACTGAAGATCAGGATAAGAACTTGTTAGAGGAGGGAAATTCTTCCAAAGCTGCCTGTTGCAGAGCTCTTACACCTTCTCCTGGAGTGTTTGGTATCAGCCACTGGTGGAGACAGGATCCGAGGCCAGACAGACTGTGGGTCTGATCCAGTTTGGCAGTTCCTCCATTGCTCCATTCCTGTCCATTTCTGGTGGGGTTTATCCAACCTGTCATTACCAGAGGAGGAACAAAGCTAAGGTGTAGCAAAACTGCCCGCATGAATTCTTGAGTTAGGAGGGCAGAGCAGCAGAGGCACTTTCAGCTCATACCAGAGGAAATTGAAGGTTACAGACTGTGAGAAATGTTGGCTGAAATGAGTGTGAGTCAGAAGAATCATTCTGCCCCAGAGCTTGTCTTTTGAGTCTGGTCTGGGCAACCAGGTTTTGGAATGATTGTAGTAGAGGGGGTCCAGTCCTGAAGGCCTGAAATACAAGAACGGAGACAATTTTTTTAGGTCTGAGTGTCTGTGCATGAGGACCTGCGTGAATGTGGACTTGGGCACAAATGTGTATGTGTAAGGAGCCTGCTCAGAGATTCTGACCCCTAGCATGCCATGAAAAGCCACCAGCAAAGGTAAGAAAGGAAGAATTATGTTCCTCCTCCTTAGGCGTACCCCTACTTCTATATTTCTAAATCCTGAACAAACATGTTAAACTGTACTGCAAACTCTGTAATATCCTTCTAAGGAGGCTGAGGCTCTGGGAAGGTCATGTAGAAGGCAAACTGACGGACAGGATTTCCTTACCTTGCTGTATATTTAAGGTTTTCACTCCTACTGCCAAGGTGTGCCTGTTGAAGATAACCTGTCAAGTAATACTGACCCAGCAGACAGAACAGGTTGAAAGATGGCAGAGAAAGACAATACAATCGTCATGTTGCTCACTTCATGGGTTCCAATGCCCTGGCCAGGGGTTTGGCTACATAATACTGCATCTTCCTTGTTGTTAAACGTCCTCAAATACTTGCTCCTGTGCCGTATTTTGGGATTGAAGCTCTCTTCCCGGGGCAGTGGGTGCAGCAGAGCTGTGAGCCTGGGAAGAAGGCAGAGGTGATGTGGATTAGAGAGGGATGGTGGCTGAGCTGCTCTGTCCCCATGGCCATTCCTATAGAACAGCTTGCAATATCCTTGTGTTACATCACTTTCCTCTCTTATTTATGGTAGCATGGTCTTTTGGGAACTTCGCTGGTGTTTCTTATTACCCCTGACTCATTCCCCATGGGGATGGTGATACAGAGTGAGACTATTAGCTTTTAATACACAAAAGAAATTCTTTTATAGATAGTGTTTTTTGTAGTATTATTATTATAAGCTTTCCTGCCAGACTTAGAATAGAGAGGGAAGTGCTTTTTCAAGTGACTGCAGGAGATGGAAAAGAGGAAACAAATGCTTCAGTTTTGGTGTGGATAAACATTCCTACTGCTAGTTACAGTAACAGAAATTAGTTACTGAAAGAAGGAAAGGAGGAAAATTCTTTAGCTTCCACAATTTGCAAAGACTTCATTAACTAGCCTTACAGCACTTCTTCCTCTCCCTCTCCTCTCCCTCTCCTCTCCCTCTCCTCTCCCTCTCCTCTCCCTCTCCTCTCCCTCTCCTCTCCCTCTCCTCTCCCTCTCCTCTCCCTCTCCTCTCCCTCTCCTCTCCCTCTCCTCTCCCTCTCCTCTCCCTCTCCTCTCCCTCTCCTCTCCCTCTCCTCTCCCTCTCCTCTCCCTCTCCTCTCCCTCTCCTCTCCCTCTCCTCTCCCTCTCCTCTCCCTCTCCTCTCCCTCTCCTCTCCCTCTCCTCTCCCTCTCCTCTCCCTCTCCTCTCCCTCTCCTCTCCCTCTCCTCTCCCTCTCCTCTCCCTCTCCTCTCCCTCTCCTCTCCCTCTCCTCTCCCTCTCCTCTCCCTCTCCTCTCCCTCTCCTCTCCCTCTCCTCTCCCTCTCCTCTCCCTCTCCTCTCCCTCTCCTCTCCCTCTCCTCTCCCTCTCCTCTCCCTCTCCTCTCCCTCTCCTCTCCCTCTCCTCTCCCTCTCCTCTCCCTCTCCTCTCCCTCTCCTCTCCCTCTCCTCTCCCTCTCCTCTCCCTCTCCTCTCCCTCTCCTCTCCACATCTACATAACACGTTCTACAATGCAGACAGGCATTTTTGAAATGGGGGCAAACATTCCTATGCATTTGTTTCATTACTGCTTTTGAAAGGGTGTGAATGTACTGATGTAACCAGATTGGTGCTACTAAGTCAGCCAAGCTCCCCAGAGACCAGACAATTAATCTATGTACTGTCAAACACAAGATTATAGTGCATGCTGATAAATGGTTTAGCACCGCTTAGCAAATGTCAGTTGATCAATCAGAGTTAACCAGCTGCAAACTTGCTAAATTCAGGCAAGGTCCAGGCAATCCATATTTTAGATGGGTTTCATTAGTGTAACTGTAACAACTCAGCACTGCAACAGAAGGGAAGATATGTCAGAAATGCAACTCAAGTCCTTACCAGGATTTCTCTGTCTGTCACTCTGGAGACAGAGAGAGCAGGGACTGATGCATCGGTCATTTTTTCACAAAACTGTTTCTAAAGAAACGAACTTTGGCAAAGGAAGTGTTACCAGACAAAAAGGTTGAAATCTGAGAAACCTTTCTGCCAGAAGAGGTTCTGAATAACTCTTGGAAGGATCAGCTGGAAAACACTTCATTCTGAGAAAGTTTCTGCCTTTCAACAGGACACTGCTCATTGACCTCACTTAGTACTCACCGGCATGACGAAGATTTTCTAGGTTGGCTGATACCTTGCCCTTCTTTTATTAGTTAACTTTCTTGCCCAATAGTCTCACTATGAATTTTTGGTGAGAATGTTTGGTGGCAGAACAACTCTTTCCAGTTTATTGTGCAATTAAAATACCATATGATAAATACAAACAAACCAACCAAACAAAAACAACCTCAGATTTCTTTTCTGTTTGCTTTTTAAATTGGGATAAGGGCTTGATTTGATTCTTCAGCTTTCCATCTTGTATAGTAAAAGCAGACTAGTTGTCTGTCCTGTCTGGCAGGAAGCAGTGCTGTAACCCAAGAAGCCATTGTATTGCTTTTCACAAGGAACTGTTCATTTTTTGTAGTTTGCAGTCATGATAGTAGCACTGATTCCTCTTTTTAAAGCAGTTAAATTCGTGTTTTGAGAGTGCAGACAGGACAGAGTATGCTTCAACTACTCCAGTGTTATTTGTGGTGACACGCTGGATTGGAGAATTGGAAGAGTGGAGAGCGTTTCAGCCCTTAATTTCCTGTCGAAGGATTCAGCTGAGGAAGCATTGAATTTTTGTTTCTCTTTGCTGTCGACATGGTAGGAGATAGTCAGTCAATACCAGCCCGAGAACATCTAAGAATTGACTTTTGATAAAAATCAGTAGTCTGGGAAGCAAATTGAATAGAGGCAATTTCAGTGTACAGCCATTTTTCAGGCAAGTTTTCCTGCAATCCCAAAGGAAAACCAAGACAGGGATTCACTGGGTGGTGTGAAATGAAGACTCATCTGGATAAAAGAGTAAAACGAGCTGGACGTTTTCCATGTGTAACAACTAAAGGCATCTCCATTCCTGAGCCAACTTCGAACACAAAGGATCTCCAGTTCTTTTTAAAGTATTCTCTCTCAAACGGTTTTCAAATTGGCACCTAATTTTGTGGACCTCAATGTCAAGGCATTGCTTCTGTGTTGCAGAACGGCATCACCTCTGTGTTTCTTCGCACACCCATGTCCTGGCAGTGGTCAGACCTGAACTGACTTTGCTGACCTCATTTCTGACACGGCCAGATGGTCCATTTTGCTCTCCAAGAAAAGCTGATCCTTAGCAGCTCTGGGAGAACACGCACATTTTCTACCTGGCATTCTCCCACTCAAAGATAGCTCAAATGAAGACGAATCTGAATAACTGAGATATCCACTTAATACATATAAAAGTAGATGCCATAAAATGCAGCCTACTTTCCACCAGAAATCTCACGGGGGAAATTCAAACATTTCTATTTCCACTCACAAGCTTTAACCAGCTGTTTGACCATTAGTGAAAATCCTTTTAGTTTTCCAAAACTGAGTGAGAACTCTTTCCAGGAGTGGCCTGTGTTGAGATATCTAGCATTTTTGCTTTGGATAGACTAAGAATATTAATCTTTTCGTGGCATTTTGTCGCCACAGCAAGCTATTCCCCAAAGAAATGAGGCAATTGGTGCCTCATGCAAAAAAAAACCAAAACAAACAGTAACCCTCAAATAACTTCTGTAAGTTTCTGTTATTCAGGTGTCAAAAAGATTTGATTTCAACTTTTTCAATGGGAATAAGTAATTAGTGCTTTGCTTTATCTACAGGATTCTGTTCAAATCGAGTTAAATGATTGGTGCAGCAGAGTTTTGGATTGAGGTGCAGTTTCCCTGGTAACAATCGAGAGTGAAATCAGAACCTTTTGAACAGCCAGTGGAATGTGGTTCTACTTGGATGACAATAGGTCAAAGCATTTTAATGGGTAAAAACGTAATCCAGTACAATAGGATTTATTGCCACTGTGTCATCAGATTGACACTATTCCTGCAAATTCTTTAGCTTGTGACAGACTTCAACTGAAATCTGTTTAGTGGAAAAACTTGTAAAATGCCATTAATCATTTTGTTTTCC